TCGGGCCGCGAGCCGGGCCGCCCGTGACCATGTCTAAGTTTGGTATTAGACATAAATAACTTTATATGCATTTATTCATTAACTCAACACTCATGTTGTACATGCGTATTAATACTAGTTATTATTATTATTATTATTATATGCATGAATGTTTCAGAAATTATTTCAAAGTTTGTTGGTGAATCGTGTCATATGACTTGATCCATCTATACCACAATCTACTCAAAATCTACAACTAATTAATTAATTCTTCACGGGCTTCAAATACAAATTAGAAAAGTCATGTGCATAAACATCACAACTTCATAACTAACCTAACCCGCGCAAATTCAAGATTCTATTCATCACAATCCGGAATGATTTCGTTTGTGCTTTTAACCATAGATTATCTACACTGCATAATCTATATGTGTATCTAACGGTTAAAATGAACTATCCTGTAACGGGACTATAGTCATTTCCCTAATTATGTATTTCGGGACAAATTATGAGAATAGAACATTTAACCAAATTCACATTTCACCACATAATTACACATCTAATTACATACAGAGGTAGCATTAAATTGTCTTTGCAGCTGTAATAGCGTGCTTTTTCTTTTCGTCATTGCCTCCACAACAATGCCTCAAAAAAAAAAAAAAGAACCAAGAGAGAGAGAGAGAGAGAGAGAGAGAGAGAGAGAGAGAGAGAGAAAGAGAGCTCCACCAATTTCATTCCCTACTGGAGTTGGCTTTGCCCTGTTGCCAATGAAGGACGTTTAAACTCCAGATTGAGAATGCTGGGACGCATCTTTCCCGTTCCGGAAAAAAACAAATACACAAAATTAAGTAACAAGAAGCTTCCAAAATTAGAGCAGCGATGCAAAATTTTTACCTAGCAGGACATCAGTTTCTGGTTACCATGAGTTTTCAAAAGGAGGAGCTGAAAAGGCCAAATGAGTTCTTTGCTAGATTTCTAGAGGGGTGTATACGTCTTTTAATTTATATTCAAAAGGAGAACGACGGCTGTGATATATATGGACACAGACAGAAGTGAAAAGATTGCCGGGTGTGATTATAATAGGGAATTTGGGTTTGCACAAGTCAAATTTTCATATTTTCAGGTTGATGTGTGAATCAGCGCTCAAAGATTTTTTAGATCCCCAGCCCGACTGCTGCTGATGCCCGTTTGTGAGACGGGCCCATCGCTTGAGAATCCTAGGGTGATGGATGCGCTCGTGCTGCTCATGGGAGACATTTGAGACAAGCAGAAGGTGTCTTTGTTGAGCCCTGAAAGCCTCAAATCAGACAGGGCCAAAGTTGCGTGGGTGGACTCCACAGAGACAGGGTAAGGTGCAACCGGCATATCGGTCAGAGAGGATGCGGATGGGCTGTAACTCAGCCCCCTCATTGGGTGGTCGAATCTGCACGTGGGCCCAAATTTGCAAACTCCGTTCTTTGCATAGTGAGAGCAAAGTGGTGCACCCTAAGATGAAGGAAGAAGAAACAAACTAGTAAATAATAGAAATATATGTCACACTACAGAAAAACACAGGCAGATGTCCAGTTAAGCATAAGGATAAAGAAACACTGCCGGCAAAAGTAGTATTGATAGTATATAAATAGAGACCAGTCTGATTTAAAGGATCATCATCCAGCAAACAGGGCGCAACATCATTATGTTAAAAACAGCTTAACAAATTAGTCTGGGGATAAAAATGAGCTAATCAGAATTCGGAAACCTCCATGAAACACATTAACTCATAATACCACTTCAAGGTGACTACGATTTATGTTCTAGACCAGAGGGATGCAGGCGTATATCTTATTAGTAGCAACGGCCATTGCTGAAGTATCAGTGAAATATGTAGAGATGAACAAGGGTAATGTAATGTTAATAACATCAAATAAATCTTCAATCCAAACCAAGTCTTTCATGTACTGAAAAGCTTCAACATATTGGAGGTCAGAGATAAAATGTACTGGGAAGTAAAAGAAGAAAAAATAAAATGAAAGAAAAGAAAGGAAACCGAAAACTAGAAAAGAGAGAATTAGAAGGGAAATTTTATCAGGAAAGGTAGACAGCAAAGGTAGGCTCATGGCAGGCAATAATTTATTTAATTGCCGAAAGTGCACCAAAAATAAATAACTGTACACACCTTGCTGCTAAATTAACTTATTGTGTCGATCACAATTCACGGAAATTTTAAAATGCTTAAACAAATGGAAAAAGGGAACTGAAGCTCACAGGGCGTAAAGGAAGACCCATTGGACTAAGCACAAAAGTAGTCTTTTGCTCACTCCACTCTGGTGGATGATGATACTTACAAGTAGCCCCAAATTTACACTCTCCAGTCCTTAAAAAATGCTGACATTTTGGTTTACCAGGTCTTTCTGGATGTGCAAGTTCCTTGTGGCTGCTACTCGAGGGGCCACCAGAAGAAGTAACTGAAATATATTGTCCCGGATATGCAGCCGCAGAAGGAGACAGCTTTGTTATCCCGTAAATTGAGCTACCAGCAACTGCTGGTTGAACGCTTTGGGAGGCCACAGGGCTGACAGGTGCCTGTTATGTAGTACTTCAAATTCAGCACAAAATAATTACATCTCAAAGAAACTTCCGATCAAACACTCTCATATGTCCCAAAAAAAAAAAAAAAGGAAAACAACAATTAAATAATGAAAGAATATCACCAAATCCATTCCAGAGGTTTGACCGAGTTGCATTTTTACGAAACAGTCTGGCAATTTTCTCAACGACAGGTTCAACTACACTTACCGCATAGGGAGTCCAACCCGAAACTGGAACGACACCTGGGGGCAAGAGCACTGGACCATAACTTCCAGGAACATATGAACCAGGAAGCATTGCAGGAGTCACAACTGGCCAATTGCCTTGAATAACCCCATATTGTTGTGAAGATTGAACAGAAGGAGAGGGCCCACTCAGATAGTTTCCCAGTGTAGGCACAGGGGCAGCCAAAAGCCCAGCACTGGGGGATGGTGATGGCACTGGCACTGATACTCCAAGTGGCTGTGGGTGATGAAATTTACAGGTGAGACCAAACTTGCAGTGCCCTGTCTTTCCATAATATGAACATTCTTTTTCTCCCTGCATAAGTGACCATGAGGCGGAAGATATAGTGTCAGAAAAGGAAAAATGAACAATTCTGAAGAAAATAAGAAAAAAAAAAATAAAATCGAAAGACGCAGACCGGGCGCAAAGGATATCCATAAATGTTCAGTGTCACTGGACCTAAAGTCCCAATTCCAAGCTTGGGATGGTTGTACTTGCAGGAAACACTAAATTTGCACGTTCCTGTCCGCATGTAGTGCTGAAAGTCCAAGGAAAACTACTTAAAATAGATTATACACAGATAAATTACTTTAAGGAGCATGATCCAGCAAATGACTGCCGAATAAAGGATCTACAGAAATATAGGTTAAACCTTGGCATCCCTAAAATAAATAACACAAAGCAGGTGGATTACTTGAAAGAGTATGACATAGCAAATCAACTTTAGCCAATATCAAAATTTTAACCTTGTGATTCTACTGAAAATTCGAGACTAGACAGAGAGCAGATGAAAGGTAAGATTTATAACTTCAGCAGGGCTATAAGCCTAACAATCAATAACTTTCAAAACCAATATTTAAGGCAACACAGATTCTTAGCATAAGTGTCACGCACAACTTGACATGATGGAAAGAACCATCCAGTACCAAGTTGTGTAAACAAGCGATTGAAGCTAAATAAATGAAAAACGACACGGCTAAGTATATTAAAAGCAACTGCCTAAAAAGCTCCACCCTTCTACATCAAACAAGAGGATGAGAATATTATATGCAGCACAGGCCTACCGCACCGAATGAACAATATTCAAGTAAACTTAGTAACTGAAACATAGTTCAGCTATTGCACACAGAACCACATCGGAATCATAAATTTAAGCATTTTAGTTATTTTGGGTGAGGTGCAATAAAACTTCATCTACTTGCATAAACATGCACACATTTTGATGTAAAAAAAAAAAACGAGCAATTGGATACCTGACAGACAGGTTGGCCTACACGTTCTGGATACTCGCCCCCACCAGCTCGAAATGCTCCAATTGTCTTAAATCACACACACACATTGTTGAAATGTGTTAAATTAACCAAAATGCGATATACACAGCTGTTTTCAGACTTATAGAACTTCCCATTTCCAAAAAAGACATGTACAAACCTCACCAGAATAACGAAGAGACCATTGCTACTAAAATTGCCATCATACATTGTACAAAATCTACTATTTCAACTCAATGCATGTGCACCAGATAGATGTGACCATCCAAAATGTAAATGCTTCCACTAATTTGCTCACATTTCTTTACACCAATACCTTGAAAATAGACGGTTTTCACCAAATAACTACCAAATCCATACGAATACCACTAACTCAGCACTCAATGCATGCTTGTCCCTCATATCTATCTCACTCCTAATACCCAAGGAAAAGAATACAAGTAAAAAAATATCCCTCTTGTACAAGAAATTTCCAATTTTGCCTAGATTAGCATCACAATGTACACAAAAACCGCTCTCCGGCCAAGAATTCACCCATGATCACATCATCGATAATAGGTCTGTATTCTACTGAATAGCTCGAAAGTTACCAGGCTACGGTCTCGTGGATGATTGAACCGGCACCGATTCCCGTATCCGCAGAATCCAGTCCTCAGGTAATAGATACAATCGGGCTCACCGGGCCTCTCCGGGTACGGTTCAGGCCCACCTCTGAGGCCCAATTGCCACATACGCCCTGCACATGCATAAATCAAACCTCAAAATGAATCAACACTACAAATGGTCCTGCGAAATTCGTGTTAAATTCAAATGCAACTCGCCTTCAAGCCCAGTCTCTCCACCAGGCACCGCCTCCATTGCGTTGGTCCCACTGTAACTGTCCATATATTACACACGCACTCACACTCAATCTCTGTACAGATACAGAGTAAACATATACAGTACAAGACTTTTACCAATATGTAATAAATATCTTGTTATTATTACAAACAAAACACGTAATTTTGTGTGATTGACTGTGCGAGAGAGAGAGAGAGAGAGAGAGAGAGAGAGAGAGAGGTGGTTTGAGACTTAGAGAAAGTTGCGTTGAATCACACTCACTCACTGGGCTTTATATATTTCACACAAATTGTGTTATTTTTCCGGTGCAATACTTTGTGTTGTATTTTCATTGCGCGTGTTAAAAACTAAATGGATGAATTACAATATAAACTCAATCTCGCGGGCCGCTTTTTGCCGGAGGATTGTGAGTGGCCTATCATGTTCGGGTTGACGGCATGGCGGTTGTGGCATTGGAGAAACTTACGAGTATTTGAAGGCGTAGACATGGCCGTGACGGACCGCGTTCGTGATGTGTTGTCGTATACATCCCGTGTGAGCAAGGCCGTGGAGAAGAGCCAAAGGGTGGGGGCGAGTGTCGCCCGGGAGATGCGGTGGTTGTTTTGGGTGGCCCCGTCAATGGGCACGTTGAAAGTTAATATGGATGGGAGCTTTGTCCCGTCCACAGGCATGGCGAGCGCCGGGGGTGCATACGGGACTACTGTGGGCGTTGGATATCTGGGTTTACGATGAATATTGGTTATTGCTCTATTGTGGGCGCAGAGCTTTGGGGTTTGTTTCAGGGCCTGAGCCTGGCATGGGATATTGGTGCTCGGAATCTTATCGTGGAAGTGGATAATCAGGTTATTATATCGATGGTTGGTCGAGATGAGTCGGATGGGCCGCATAGTAGTCTTGTCCGGGGCATTCGAGAACTAATGGGTCGAGATTGGGAGGTAGAGCTTGTCCATGGGCATCGTGAGACCAACTTTGTGGCGGAGTTTTTGGCATCCTTGGCGGCTCAAGGAGCGGGTGGCTTGCATCGGTTTGATCATGCCCCTGATGGGGCGGGCCTATAGTTACTTCATGATTCTGCGGAGGTGTCTCATCCTCGTCGGGTCGTGATAAAGCGGTAACAGTATCGCTTCCTTTCCTGTACCAAAAAAAAAATATATATATATATATATTATTCAAAAACTTGCGGAGACAATAAAAAGGATACTAATTTGGGTTATTCTACCGTCAGGTACCCTCGTACATGCCTCGTACATACATAACAACAAGTACCCCTTCAATTATTGTCAAGTGTCCCATTTCATAATAATTTTTTTAAAAAATAAAAAAATTCGTATAGGTTATTACAAAAATACCCTTACTAATTAAAAAAGGTTTAACTAGTAAAATATTTATTTAAAAGGTGTTATATTATTCATAAATTTTAATTAAACTCAAACACATTAACATATATCAATTAAACCTCTTTTTAATTAAACGAAATCATGTTCATACATTCATCGCATTCTTCCAATCATCTCTAAAAGTCATCTTCATAAATTCATCTTCGTAAGCTATGTATGAACTTGTTGAAGGAATATCGCATATCCATTGTGCATTCAATGATTCCAACCGTTAAAACGAAATATGTTGATTTTTGAATCCCAATTGCAAGCACGATAAATGAAGGTAAATAGTTTAAATGTAAACCGGAACCTAACTATGTCAAATGTGCATTTGTGTATTTAAATTCGTGTTCAAATTTAGCGATTCAGGTATTTACACGATCTGTGCAATTTTAATATTCATATATTTTTTCGATAATTGATTTATTGCGAGTTTTTCCTGGTTCTGCAATGTAATTTGGATTTTGATGTGAGGATGCGGGTTATTGAAGAGACTGATTTGTTGTATTTGTGATATAATTAACAAGCAATTTACATACTCGACAAAATGTCTGTATGAGGTTGATTACTTTGTTGTTTTTATTTATTAATTTGTTATACACGATTTTGATATAATGTTGGTTGTGTAAAGAGGTGTTAATAAAATCTGTCCTCAATGTTGTCCCTACCTTCATAATGGTTGTGTTCTCAAGGATGGGATAAACACCAGAATTCTCAAGGATCCTTGGATTCAAGGAGTGAAGAATGGGATCCCTTGCTTCAAAGATGAAAACATTGTGCACCCAGTTATGGTTTTTGAGTTGTTGGGTGAAGGGGGGATAGGGTGGAATTTGGAGATGCTCAAGTAGTTTTTTGATGATTATCTGGTATTTGAAATTCTGAAACTTAGATCTTTGTACCCTACCAAAAAAGACAGATGGTATTGGAATGTGGATGTATCAGGCATATTCTCAGTCAAATCAGCCTTCTCTGCATTTGTTAAAGGCAAAGTCATGAAGTTAGATAGAGCTGAGGGGAATGATACAGCTGACAGTGACAAAAAAGCAAGATCAAGTTGTTGGAAATTGGACATCAAAGGCAAACTGAAGCTCTTTGTGTGGAATTGTTTTACTGGAACTCTACCAGTTACAGGCAATATTAAACAGAGAGGGGTTGTGATTGATGAGGGCAGTGATCACCTCCTGGAGATTTATTTGCAGGTGACTGAAGGAGTAAGTAGCTTTTCAAGATAGACATCCGATCAATGAATGTTGCTTGTAGTTGTTCATTGATTGCAATGTGGCACATTTGCTTTGTACTAGGGATGATGAACCAAGTGTGTATGTATTGTTCAATTACTTCTGAAGTATGTTACAATATATGTAAAAGTGATTGGAGGTTGTATTGTTTTGCATTTGACCAGTGCATTTGTTGTGACTGTATGGGTTGATATGTAATTGTACGTTTTCATATTGAATGTGAAGTAATAAATTTTAAAAGTATTTTGATACATGAATAGACACTGGATACACGTACAGATTTGTAGTCGTTGTTAAACAATGGAAAAAGACATAATTTGTGTCATATTTCTATAACATTTCCATTTGTAAATCACTCTCAGCTGTGTTGTCATAATGAATTTCAAAAACATTTTTGTTAAAGTAAGATGATATTTCAGTATGCCAATGCAACATAAATAAATACAATAAGAACAAAAGTTGCCCAAAAAAAAGGTGTTAATAAAATGTTGATCACATAATAATTAACAAAAGGACAATAAAATGTTCCTTCATTCACAGACCGTACTAATTGAGAGACAATCAAAAGCCTTATCGAATAGTTCATGTGGCACTGGGAAATGTAATCGTTCACACATCAACATCAGATACATACTAGATCATTGCAATTTAATTTCCTAAACTTGAGAATGCATCCTGCAGCTATGTCAGCATCCCTTATGAAAGGCTTTAGTCCGGTGAATATGTGTTTGTTCCCTTCTTTTTGCACCCGGACTGTCCACTCCTTGCCCCCATGACGAATAATAGCAGACTGAGCGCTATCAAATTTCTCCATCAGCGCTTGATTCCAGAACGTAGATGGAACCGTCTGTTGATAAAGAATAAAAAATATGTCCAATAATAAATATCAACATTTTTTTGCAATTCATACACATGATAATTTTTGTTCAAAAAAAAAAAAAATAGTTTACCTGTCTCCTCTAGGTGACAAGGGTGAAAGAAACCTGTATACTGAAGCAGCCATCAAAAGTTTCATCATCATCAGCACTCCTTTCATCGTCAAAAATGCAAGATCCAATCACAGTTCTAGTTGCTTTACTGCAACAAGCAAGGCTAAAATGATAGACCATAAATGTGTTTGGACCTCGAAGTTCGAAACACATTAGTTCATTTTCATTCAGATAATTATCTCCTGCAAATTCCTCTCATCCATCCGCGAAACCAATTTTGGATCCAAAACGCTTGATCACAACAGGCCATTTGAACGCACCATCACATTTGTTTTTCTGAAGGGTGCATTCTAGTGGAAGAAAATTTTTGATGACCCGCTTAATTCTAGGTGGGAGATACTAGGAAACATGAATGTGGGTCATTGTCAAGTGATGAAGTAAGAACAAATTTCAAAACATGCATAAGCAAGTGATAATCAGAATAGTGAAACAAACCGTTTACCAGTTTGTTGCTATCGGGGGTCATCAAAAGTTTCATGAATCAGTCGATATCCAACAATTTAGGCTTGCAGCCAGCCATGGCTCGTGTTGGTGTTATATACTTAAACTTTGCTTTAGTGGATATTACACTTGTTATTCCTTGATGAATGAGAATTATGTTTGGTTAAATAAGTTCCATGTTCTGTTGTTTTGCATGTAGATAAGTGGGTCGTCATCGGGCGTACCGAAGATCACTATATCAGTTACTTGCGAAACAAGAATCATTGGTAAACAACCTAGATGGAATTGAACAACCCATCGGAACGGTTGTAGTGTCAACCGTACGG